TTACTGTAAATGTGTGCAAGATGAAACCCCAACCAGAAAGCATTTCCTTCCTGCCCCTTTAAGTGGATCAGCCTCCTGCAAGTGTTGTGAGGGCTGTGGGGAGTTTGAAAGAGCTGGTTGTGCCTGAGTCTGGTCAGCAGGACACGGTGGCAGGGTGGGAGGGATGCTCCAAGGGGTTTGGATTGTGGGGACTGGTCCCCTTGGGCTGTGCACGATCTCATGATCTGAGATCYTTATTTTGGGGGACACTAGGGTGCTGTGCCCCAGATGTGCAGAGTATCAAAGTTCTGGTGTGTTAGCAGGTGGGGTGACACTTTCAGGAGGGATGAAAATAGCTCATCGCGTGGGTTTTTCTCAGAAAACCGTCCAGCTGACAGTGGAACGGGGCTGGGGAGAGGGAAGCCTGTGTGTGGGAGGCATGGGGAGGCGAAAGGTTGTGCTCGCCTGCTCGGTCCAGGGCTTTGGGTGCATTAAAATTCAGTCACTGTGACTTCAGGCCCATCTCCAGCAACATGCCGGGACGTGTGTCTCAATGGGGGCTCTTGATCCCAGTCCCCGGGCTGAGCTGCAGGTGTCTGGAGCCATTCCCACAACAGGCATCTGCCCTTTGCGGCTTCCTCGCTCCGGTTCCACCTTCCTCCTCCTCCTCACCCTTCCTTCCCCTCRCGCTCCAAGCTGCTCCCTCCGTTCTGGCTTTCCGGTGACTGCAAACAATGTCCTTATTCACTCAGTGACTGGGATTTGGCGGCGAGGGGAAGGCCCGGGCACAGAGGAGGAGGAAGGAGAGAGGCAGAGAAGCGAGCCTGTCCTGGGCCAGCCGTCCAGCTGTGCTTAAAGGTGCTCTGTGGGGCAGTTTGACTCTCTGCTCCCCCGCTTTCCTACGGGACCGAGGGCTGTGCACTCCTGTGGTTTGTCCACCTGTCCTGCTATGGTACCCTCCAAACCCACAGACAGTTTCAGCAGAGTTTACTGGGCATTAGCATCCTGCCAGGATCCCACAGGTCACTGTGGTGGCACTTGGTTGCTTTTGCAAAGTGAATGGCCCTGAAGGATGCACAGCACATATTAGACATCAGAGAAGCTGCATGGGCTCCATTTGCCCTATGAACACAGTAAGGCTTTTCACTGCTCCAGCTCTTGTTTAAAACCACAGCAGCTCAGCAGGTCATGGGGCACTGCTCTGCTTCTGGTAAAGCAGCCAGGCTCCTTCCTGATCCTGCTGGGAGTTGGGCAGGGGCTGGTGAGCACTCGTGCCCCCAGGGAAGGGGTGCCACAGGCTCTCCCCTGCCAGCTGTCCCTGGAAGGCACACAAGGGCCCTGACCAGTCTCAGAGAACACAAAACCTTGGGGAATGTCATGGGATTTTGCTGCCCTGATGCTGGCCCCAGGACAATGGGCTGCTGGGGGCTGCAGAAGGGGGATGAGGGGAGTGCTGGGCATCAGGCGGGCCAGGGGCATAATCTGCTGTTACCGTTGGCTCAGCAGGGACCACARGCTTAGCTCTGCCCTTTGGGAGTGGACAGTGGTGAGACCAGCCTAAGACAAGCCAGGGACACATTTTGCCCACAGATTGCTCCCTGCCTGGGAGGATTGCTCCCTTGGGTGGGTGTGAGCTCCTTCCCACACCCCAGTTCGCCCATTTGCAGTGAGGGCTTTCCCAGGTGCTGAGCTGGGCCCATGTGTGTGACACATCCAAGGCTTGTGAAGCTGCAGAAGGGAAGCAAAGGCTGGCTTCCCCTCCTTTGTCCTTCCACCTTTGGTGGTCCAGCCCCTGTGCAGGGTTGATGGCATGTTTGCCAACTCCCTGTATGGGCTCAGCCCTTTAGTACCCACCATTTCTTTTGTTCCATGAGGAGTGGGGAGATGATGTTCATCTCCTGCAGAATAAGCTGGTGTCCATGAACTAGCCCTGACTCACTGGGGCCTACAGGGTGATGATGGACCAGCCACTTAGCCCAGCCAACGATTAATTTATTAATTAATGAGATGAATTCACTCTCAGCTGGTGTTGGAATAAGAAGCATTCTTAGCATGCGTTTCGCAAACTGGCGACGTGTCTCGGAAAAGACAAACTGGGATCAGAGTTGCTCATATCCTGGGAAGGGTGCCTGTACGGAGGGAGCCTCACTTCTCCCAGCATCAAGGTCATGCATGAAATAYGAGAAATTACCCCGAGAAATTCTGATCCTGGAGGAGGAGGAGTTCATGACTTCAGAAATACCAGATTTGGGAGGGGATGGAAGTGGAAGGGATATATTTTCMTTTTCAAAATACCTAAGGAATTCAGCCTGTGCTGCACAGACAATGAAATTTTGCCCCTTGGTGCCGGAAGGGGTAATTCATACCCTTGTGTCTTGTTAAGATTTTTGTTGCCGTGGGTGAAAAACCCTCCCATTCCACTGCAATCCCAGGCATGTACAGTTTTTAAATCACCCTAAAATCAAGAGAGTGGCTCAAATGTGAGGTTTAAATAAAGTGTTGCATGTCCTTTATTCTTTCTGATTTCTATAGCTTTAGGTTGGATTTTGGTGACTTTTTCCAGCTGTGATGGGATATTAAATTTATTTATATGTATAAAACATTATTTCTATATATGTTTATGTGTATATTTGTGATTTCACATAATTGTATGRATCCAGGATCAGAGCAGTCTGAGGTTTGTTACAAAACACAAAGGTTGGCAGCTCTGCCAYGGCAGCTGCAGGGCGATGGTACGTGCGTGTCCGGGGCTGTTCGGTGCCTCCCTCGGGGGACCCTCACACCAGTGGGGCTGGCAGGGTGGCCTTTGCCTGCCTGGCATCTGCCAGCAATAGGAAACCCTGCTTTCCTTCCCCTGCAAGAGCATCCCAGCAGCATTGSGGGGGAGGGCAGTGGCTGCCTCGGGTGTGTCAAATACCTGATGGGTACAGCAGAGTGCAGTGGGGATTTGGCCTCTGTGCCCAGCGAGCTGTCAGGCTCGCATCCTGTGCTGTGTTTTTTACCCACTCCTGTCCCAGCTGGCACACAGGGAAGTCAGGCAGAGGATTGGGCTGCTCCTGGGAGCCCGGCTAGWCTTGGCCATCCTCGTGGTGGGCTGGTGTGGATGGGTCTGGCTGCTCGTGGTGGAGGTGGTGTATCTGCAGCAGGGAGGGAGGGGCAGGGAAGGGCTCWGTGCAGAGCTCGCTGTGTCCTTTGGCTGCCCAGCGTAGGGAGTGAGCAGCTCAGCCTGGGTTGCACAACCTGCCCAACTCCCACATGCAACTGGCCTCCTGCGAGCAGAGATGTTGGAAGGCATCTCTTTCTCTGGAGGCCTGGAGCCTGCTTGCTGCCTGCATTTCTCAGCCTGGCTGCATGGGACTGTTGCCCACCTGCCCCACAGTTCTGCCTGATGCTGGACCCAAAACCCTGTCYGAGCCCCTAGAGATGTCCCCAGCAGCCCCTCACTTAGGCCTGGCTGCTGGTGCAGGACCTGGGACACCATTCTGTCTGCACCCTGAGTTCTCCAAGGTTCAAGCAAGTGTTGCACTCACTCCCCAGAGTTCAGTTCCCACCGTGTTTAACCTGGGAGCGGACTGCAGCCTCCTGATGCTGCAGCAGCACAAATAACAAACGGTTTACAGTGGAAAAAAAGGAGATTTTTAATATATGCCTCAAATCTTTCTTGGTGTGGATGCTTCCATTGATGCCCTTGCACTGCAGGCCCCTATGTTTCTGTACACACCTGCAGCAAATGTCCCCCTCTGGGCAGGGCTCTGCATTGCTGTGACTGCCCCTCGGCTCTGTTTCAGTGGATGTGCTGTCTGTGTGTCTGTCTGCATGTGCCTGGCTGGGTGCACACGCGTGGGCCCCGGGCATGCATGTGGAGTGTGCCTGTGAGTGGGAAGCTGGGTTTTTTTAGCTCCTCGTTATTATTAGTGGTAGGAGCCCAGCGACAGTAAGGCTGGAGGTGCCCGAGACCTTAAGAAAAACAACAGGAGGGAGGAGGCTTCGCATTCCTGCTCCTGAATTGAGTCGGAGGTGACAGCCTTTCCCTGCAATGCAATTAATCCCGGCAGCGCCTCTGCCACCCTCCCCCTCCCGCCTCGTCCAGGAATTAATTACTTGATTATAAATTCCCGAGTGGCGGTTTATAATAGCAATAATCCCCTCGAAATTCATTCTCGCTGCCGGTTTCTTCCCATTTCGCCCCCGTCGCTGAGTCTCTAACGCCGCGTCTCTGTGCCGGGCAAAGCCCTTCTCCTTGCCACGCCGGTGTCCTGGCTTTGCCCCTCAATATTAACATGAAGGGCAAGTATTTGGAGTTGATTTTGAGGGGAGTTTTGGGAAGCCCTGCTCCTGATGATAGTGATGGAGCCCTTCTCTCACGGGCAGTGTGTTTCTGCTGGCTGGGAAGCACGCAGGAGCGAGGYGCTCCCACAGATAGCTGGAGATAAGGTTTTGTCCCAGTTATTCGGYGGATGGCCCAGGCCCAGCCCCAAGGAGTGGGGCTGGGGGCTGGCAGTGTGGCGGGGGGAGGCCCCGTTCCTCCTCACTCTGTCCCTCCAGATTACGCTGACACTGGCTCTGGGGCTTGTCATGGAGGCGGGGAAGGGAGAACGGATTTGGCGTGGCGTACGGGGGCGCGAGGGAGGTGGTGATGTCTCRCAGGAGCCTGCTGGCGGTGGGTGATGGGCCTCAAAATGGTGCTGCCTTAGTGGGAGATGAGCCTCTCTGCGTCCCCCCAAGTCCCCAGGGCTTGGCCCTGACCCAACCCCACTGACTCGGCTGCACAAAGTTACCTGAGGGGCTGCCCCCATGCAGGGGACCCAACCCTGCAATAATACAGCCCCTCTGCCATTGTGCCATGAGGATTCCAGCTCCACAAGCTGCGCGTGGGCTTTCAGCCTGGCAGTGGCATCCTGCTGGGAGAAACCACTGTCCCTCCTGAACCGCGTGGGCAGAGCCAGTGTGGGCAGCACCAACATTCACTGCCACTCGTGGCCACTGGGCTCTGACATTGCTGCTTTCTCCCATCTCTGCAGAAGATGCTGATGAAGCAGCAGGACCGCCTGGAGGAGCGGGAGCAGGACATCGAAGAGCAGCTCTACAAGCTGGAATCAGACAAGCGGCTCGTCGAGGTAACCAGTGCTTCRCCCTGCCATGGCCAGTCCCAGGGACTGTCACCCCATGGCACGATGGGGACAGGCTTCTGGGACAYAGGAGTCAGGAGGGTAGGGAGAAAGGCAGTCATGCAGGGGAGGAGTAGCCAGACAGACTTCCTGCCTCCATTTCAGTCTTGGCAGTCATTGTTTTGGGAGACAAAATGTGTTTGGAGCTGCCCGGCCTCATGGGTCCTGGGGTGACTTGAGAGGTGAGGAACAAGGCTGTCCTTGAATATTAGATGGCCCATCCTGCCCTCAGCTCAGCACAGCCTTTCCCAAGAAGGGAGCGCTTGTGGTCCTTAAAGCCCCTTGGCCTCCCAGAGCATGAAGTGTCTCCAGCCTGGGGTGAGGCTGGGAATGCGAATGAAGATGGGAAAGGGAATGCAGATGGGGATGGGTGGGATTTTTCACGGGAACACACCTCTGTCGGTGGTGTGGCAGGTTGTTGGTTGGCATTATGWCTCTGCAGGTGATCCCCACACAGACCCCAGGAAGTAGGTGCAGGGATCTGCTGAAGCAATCAAACCTTCACAGTGTCCCAGTTGGGTCTCTGGCACGTAGAAGTCCCATGTGGCAGCTKACAGCAGGGTTTGATCTGTCTGGGTGTTGCAGGAAAGCAGAGCTGGGGTGCAGCTTTCGGGTTGCATTCTCCACTGCTGGGAAAGGACCCAGGTGTCCTGGGACATCATGGAAGAGGTTGGAGGGCACAGAGGGCCTGACCCTGCTCCTCTCCCCAGGAGAAGGTGAGCCAGCTGAAGGACGAGGTGCGCCTGCAGTACGAGAAGATGCACCAGATCTTGGATGAGGACTTGCGGAAGACCATGGAGATCCTGGACAAGGCCCAGGCCAAGTTCTGCAATGAGAATGCAGCCCAGGTTCTGCACCTCAATGAGCGCATGCAGGAGGCCAAGAAGCTCCTCAGCTCTGTCCAGGTCATGTTCGACAAAACTGAGGACATCAACTTCATGAAGGTAAGACAGGTGGGACAGGGGCTCTGGAGAGGTCTGGTTGTGTAGGAAGAATCGGGGAGGCATGGGGTGTGGTGGGGAGGCGGATGGGGACATTAGCAGAGCTGGCTGATGCCTCTAGAGGGCTCAGCAAWGGGAGAAGTCAAGGAGGAGTGGGGCAGGCTCAGGGCTGGCCTCAAATAAGGAGGTGCCACGGCTGGAGATGGGGCTGGAGCAGCCCATTGAAGGGGGAAGGGGGCTCAGTGCCCATGGTCATGCTGTCCCCTCCTGGGGAGCCACRGAAGCTGACACTGAAAGGGGACTTGGCCACCATGGCAGAGACTGGCCTTACTGACAAGAGCTTCTTCTTCCACTTYCAGAACACCAAGTCTGTGAAAATCTTGATGGACAGGTAAGCATGGCGGGTCAGACGTGTTTGGGTGAAAGGGTGTGTTCGTGTCCACAGGGGTGGCAGCAGCACAATGTCCAGGGGAACACCGGGGCCAGGGATGCTACAGGGTCTGGGAGAGGCACGTGCCATGCCTCAGCTTCCCTCTCTGGGAGGACGAAAAGATCCCATTGTGCAGCCATTGAATCAGRACTAGGGGTAACACAGTGATGAGCTTGTGGAAGAGCAGAGGGTGGGTGCAGCTGGGTTGGGTGCARAGCTTGGTCCAGCTCCACTGGGCAGAGACAAGGTGAGAGGAGGTGAGCTGGGGGGGATGGCCATGCTGTGGGGACAAGGTCTGCAGGAGGTGTGCCCTGGCAGGGGATGTTCACAGCAAAGCTGGACAGGGAAGGTCCTGCCTGCCAGAGACAGCCAGCTCCCTTCTGTCCTCTACCCTAGGGAGGGKCTTTGGCTCCAGGAGGGTGTGGGGGAAGGAGCTGTCCCTCTCCTGAGTCTGCCTTGTAACTCAAAACCCTCTGCCTGCCATCCCCAACAGGACTCAGAACTGTACAGGTGGCAGCCTGCCCCCACCCAAAATCGGCCATCTCAACTCCAAGCTCTTCCTGAACGAGATCGCCAAGAAGGAGAAGCAGCTGAGGAAGTTGCTGGAAGGTGGGTGAAACCTGGGGGCTGAGGGGTGCGGGGGCACGGGACCTCACTACCCATGTATCCATAGCTGGCTGCCCTGCAGATCCCAGTACAATACTGTGGAGAGAGCTGTTAGGAGAGGGACCCCTGGGAGCCCCTCTGCAGTCAGCARGGGCGTGGAGAGTCACAAAGCCAGTTCCTGACTCTCCCCAGGGCATTTTCCTTGTCTTGTGAAAGGGTTGTGTTCTGGGGTTACACAAAACCTTGAAATACAGGGCTTTTTGCGGGGTTGGCCATTGCCAGGAGAAGTCAGTGGAAAGAAGGGGGTCAGCATGTGGGCAGGGACAGCCAGGGGCTGTCATGGCCCCACAGCCCCCAGCCAATGCCTGGGAGCWGATCATGACCTAAGGAGGCTTCCCAGTGCTCTCTCCTTAGGGATTCGTGTTTATCCCCCAGGCTGTCCCACTGTTCTCCTGTTAGGGGCTGTGTTCACGAGCTGTTTGCAGARCAGTGCCCAGGGCTGCTCCAAGCCCGCTGGCGAGGGACCAGAACTGAATCTGCGAGTCCACCTGCACAGGGCTTGGTGCTCGGTTTGCCACTGGTGGGGCGGGCTGGGGCACCCTCTGTTCATCTGGGGCTGGAGTGTGGGTCTCGGGGCTCCGCTGCGGGTTCAGATCAGCATCCGGGGCACCCTGGAGCTGTGCCTTGCTGTGCTTAATACAATCTCCCTCTGCTGTTGGCTCCACAGGTCCTCTGAGCACCCCCGTCCCCTTCCTGCAGAGTATCCCCATGTACCCCTGCACCGTCAGCAACTCCGGCGCGGAGAAGCGCAAGCACTCCACCGCCTTTCCCGAGGGCAGCTTCCTCGAGCCATCATCCGGGACTGTGGCGAGCCAGTACATGAGCCAGGGYGCTTCGGCTGGCGAGGGGCAGTCCGCACAAGCCATGGTGCCTTGTAGCTCCACACAGCACATAGTTGGACTTCCTAGCGGCCCGCAGCCKGTGCACTCGGGCTCCGTCTTCAACCCATCTCACTACCCCAACACCACGTCATCTCAGCAGTCCGTGCTCTCCCAGTACGGCGGGCGCAAAATCCTCGTCTGCTCCGTGGATAACTGTTACTGTTCCTCGGTGTCCAACCACAGCGGGCACCAGCCCTACCCGCGCTCGGGGCACTTCCCCTGGACAGTCTCGTCGCAGGAGTACTCGCACCCGCTGCCGCCCGCCCCCGCCGTCCCCCAGTCGCTCCCGGGACTTGCCGTGAGGGAATGGATTGACGCATCCCAGCAGCACGGGCGGCAGGATTTCTATAGGGTCTATGGCCAGCCATCGGCCAAACACTACGTCACCAGTTAACCGTCACACTCTCTGGAGAGTACCGCGCGATGATGTGTTCAGAGAGAAAAGTCTGGTTTGGTTTGGCTTTCCTTTTTATTTTTTTTTTTACCCCTTTTAAATCAAACCCGATTTTTTCCCTGCCTCACGCCCCTCCAGGATTTTGGGGAGGGTTGTTCTATCATATCTCTTGTTTTTTTTTTAATCCTTTAAAAATGAAATAATAATTTTTTTCATTTTAATGCCTTTTTTTTAATTTAATTTTGGAAGTCCTTCCTGCCCCTCGCTGGGTAAACACGAGGGAGAAATTACCGAGAAGAAATTGATGGGGATTTCAGTCGGACATCTGGGTCTGCGCGTTGTGCTCTTCCTCGCTCCTCTCTGCCTTTGGAAAACTTCAGAAGGGACAATGGCACCTTCTCCCTTTCTATTTCTCCGAGTTCATTTTTTCTGGTTTGGTTCAGTTTTTCCCCTTTCCCCACCCCTTTCTTTCCCTTTTTAAAAARAAAAAAAAAAAAGAAAAAATCTATCATTGATTCAGTATGAAATGAAACTTGTAGATTCTGGGTTTGTTACCTTTTTTTTTTTTAAAGGCTGATTTTTTTTGTGTTAAAAGGCCACTTCTCATGCATATTGGCATTTTTTTCCTTCTTTCAGAGATTTGTAAATACACAATGGCAGGAAATTTAATGCACAAAAAAAAGGGAAAAGAAACTTTAAAAAAAAAACATGAATAAATAAATAAAAAAAAAATCTGTTCTAGTTTTCAGGAGGGGAAGCGTAGCCGAAACGCACCCCCCCTCCTGCATATCGCTGATGCAACTTCCTGTAACAAGCACTTTGTATAAAAAAAAAGTGGACTTCCTGCTATAAGGCACAGGTATTTATTCTGTAACCGATTTTAGACACACACACACACACACAAACACACACACAAACACACACACACGCAAAATATTCAAATAAATGTGATCACTTAGTGCAAACGCCTCGCTCTGCTGCAGCTCTTCCCCCGGGAACGCCAGCTCCGGCGGGAGGCTCCAACCTGCTTTTGGAGCACTGTGCTCCCCGGTCCCGCAGGAGCCCAGACCGTGACGGGGTTTTTGTGGAGGGGCTGTTGGGGAGGGAGCAGCTCGGGAATGGGCGGCAGTGGGTCCCAGATGTGAAGGAGGTTCCCACCAGCGCCCATCCCGTGCCCCAGCCCCATGGGAAGGTGTGYTGGAGATGTGGCTCTCCAGCAGCTCCCTCCCAGGCGGCGAGGATGTGAGTCAGGCACGGAGCCGGCCGGGCCGCATCCTGCCTGKAGCTCCAGAACAATCCCCATTGTGGGACGGGGACTGGGTCGGGGACAGCAGCTTTCCTGACTGCCAGCATCCACCATTCCGGCCATGCTGCTGCCCTAGCACCGAGCCCTTGAGCCCTCATCCCTGCCTAAGGCTCCTCTGCCCCCGGGGCTTTGTGGGTGCTGGCAGCACCCCGGGCTCGTTCGGGAACCCTCTGTGCTCAGCCAAGGCTGGGAAGGGTGAGGAGGAACCTTTGTCYTGGACGTGTAGCGGGGCTGTGGGCTGGCCTGGCTGGTGCTGTACAGGGATGATCTTCATCTGGGGAAAATGAGGCTGACTTCATAAAGCAGTGTCCTAGAGACAGGAGGGATTTTCGATTGCTCTCTTTGGGTTTGGTTTTCTTTATTTTTGTGTTCGTTGCAAAACACCCCTGGTTTAGTTCCGGTTTGGATTCCCCCTGTGCTGCCGAAGTGGGAAGTGGGAAGGGGAGAGTCTCAGTAAGCTGAAACAGGGGAATAGTGGGTCTGAGGGAGGGGGACCCTCTCACTAACTCCCCCCATTACATCCCAAGAGAGGTGGCAGCACAGTCCTGGACAACTTCCCAGGCAGTGCTGGGTTGGGGAGCCAGCACCTCCTGCCCGTGTGTTCCTGTACACACAGGCTGCCGAGCCCGGCAGCTCAGCCCTGCTGTCCTGCCGGGATATTCCCAACCCTGTCCTGCTCAGGCTCTTCAAGAAACCCCCAATCCGTTGGGATATTTGGGAGTTTGCTTCTCAAGCAAAGCACCCCAGGAAGGCAGGAGGGAGCAGGATGCTCCCAACCTCYGCAAGGACCCCATGATGCAAACCCCTCCGTGTTGCAGGGCCGGCTGCTGGGGGGTTTGGAAGAACCCAGGGTGGGGATACAGGCAAGATGAGTGACATCCCTCCCTGTGGASGTGTCCCTGATGCACAGCCAGGGCCACCCCCACTCCAGGGTATTCCCCAGCCCTGGCCCCTGTGCTTGGTGCCTCCAGTTTGACTGCCCAGCTGCCCTCCTCATCATCACCCTCTTCCTCCTCGGCACAGCTGCCTCCTCCTGTGAGAGCACAGCTGCCAGYCTGGACTGATACTAAAGTATTTGTCACCCACTGATGGGGGGACACAGGCACTGCCCCCAGCCTGCAGGATGACCCCCAAAAGTTTAGGACTCTCCCCATCATGGGCCACTCTCTCCCACCCCAAGCCTTCACTGGAGGGACCAGCCCCAAACAGGGGGTGCCCCTTGCAGAGCAGAGGGGCCATAGCCCCTCTCCTGCTCCCGCATCCAGGAAGAGTCCCCGGTTGTTCTGGGTGCCCCASCTCCCTACAGCACCATCAGTGCCATCCAGCTCTGGTGGTGAGGAGGGAAGCGATGGTCCCGTGGGGKCATCCCATGGAGCAGCAGGAGGAATGTGTGACCGTGGCCCCATTGGGATAACGGAGTCCTGGGAGGGGAAGCGCTGATGCTCGGGTGCACAGCGGGGTTTTGTTGATGGATGGCTCTGTCCAGGGGGTGGGGAAAGCACGGGGAGCAGAGGCACATCCATAAACAGCTCGAGTTGTGAATGGAAAGAGACGGATTAGGAGCCAGGTGAAAACATGTCACACGGCGGAAAGAAAAATGAGCAGCTGGGCCAGACCAAATTGGTGTCTGATGAAGGACGTGGGGCCTGATGGAAAAAGGATCCCAGGGCCGGCGGTGCTGCACGGGGGAGGCTGATGGGGAACAGCTGGAGCCGGACACGCGCATCTGGCAGAGCAGGGTGAGGGGAGAGGKGGTGATGCCCCTTGGGGTCCCAGGGATGTGGATGGCTGCTGTGACCACTGTGCCACTGGCCACTGCACTCTGGGCACGGGGCTGCAGCTCCACCCTCGGATCGGCGCGACGAGGGGCTGGTGCTTCACTCTCAGGGTGAGCCTGGGAAGGGGCACAGTCCCGTGGTCCAGCCCTCGGCAGAGATTTACCCATTGGGGTTCAGGCTCTCCTGTGCCATGGGGTCCCCAGGTGGAGGAGCCACTGCCTTTTCCATCATTTGCATACATGTAAATAAGTAATCAACATAATGAGGGCGAATGCAAACCAGGCTTTCAGTTTGCAACCAAGTCCTATTTTTAACCTTGGAAAAGGGTTTCGACAGGAAGTTGCAGGCCCTGCCCTGGTACTCGGCAGCACGTCCGGCCGTGCGGGTGCTCACACTGATCCCTCATCCCAAAACACCGCTGACCCCACAGCCACCACGGGGTCAGTGCCTATTGCACTCTGTTCCCGTTACCAAAGCAAACAGAAATCCCACATCCTTGTGGAAAGGTGGACCACACAACATCACACCCTGCCTCACAGCAGCCTTTTTGGGCAGCTGTCCCACCCACTGAGCCCCAGGTCCCGCTTCCAGCCAGGGTGTGCACCCCGGGAATGCCCCCGGCGCCTTGGGAGTGAAAGCCCTGTGCTTAAACATGAAGGGTATATTTAGACAGTGTCAATTTAAGTTTGCACATCAACCTTATAAATATGAAAGCTCCTCTCTGTGAGATGTTTAAGATACCTCATCAGCCTTTGGAAAATATGCAGGAATATTAATTAGCCAGATTTGGGTATTATCTCATAATGAATAAATGAAGAGACTCACTGCCTAAGATGAACCWCTGGTGGCTCATTGGGGTTTGTTGCTTTCTTTTAAGAAAAGTGTGTTTCTAAGGTAATTCACTCATTTTAACCCAGGCTGGCACAGAGGCTCAGAGGATGCAGCCTGCCAGGGCTGACCAGGGTGGGACACAGCAGACTACTCCTCACCTGGAGGGACTCTAAAAGCTGTTGTTCTACACCGCCTGATTTGACCCCAGCTGGCTGCACTGCCTCTGGGGACACAGGTACAGGGACAAGGTTGGATTCCTGTCCTGGCTGTAGCAGCCCTGGGCCCAAGATGGAGGCACCAAGTGCAGCCCCACTTCTCAAAAAACTTATTTTTGGCTTCTTCCCTTCCCGGCCTCAATCCTCACCTCCTGCTCTCCTGCTCTGCTCCCCCGGCTGCTTCACTCCCTCCAGCTGGGCCAGGATAGGAATTTCCCAGTTGCTGTAGAAACCCAGATGAAGGACACACTTCAAATGAAAATGCCAAACAAGAAATGGCTTTGTGTGCACCCGGATGGCCGCTTTTCCTTGCCAGGATGCGGTGGCTTTGGGGCCCTTCTTTGGGGCACCCTGTGTGGATGGAGGGGAGCTGTACAGACAGTGGAGGCTCCCTCACAGCCCCAGAATTTTGCATTAAGCAGCGAGTAGAGGCTGGGGGTCACTGGGAAAAACACTTCAAAGGTCTCCATCACCCATGGAATGCCGCATTGAAGGATGCAGAAGCCATTGGGGCTTTGACATCYCTGCCAGCTCTGGCACCATCTCCCCCTTTGGYCTTACRGCTAAGACATCCCTGGGACCCCRAGGGGCATCACCACCWGATTTGMAAGRTTTTGGGGYRGTGGGGCGGTTTCCAGCTGGTGGGAAGAGGCTTGGGGCTGAGCAGGGGACAGTCGGGCAGAGGATGGGGACACCAGCACAAGCCTCGAGGTGCAGTTGGATGGCCCAGGCGATGGCCCAGGTGGCAGAGCCATGTCCATCGGAGGAGCTGGGTCAGGGTGGACCGGCCAGCAGCCACYGTGGGCCRGAGCCATCCCGGGGCCATCCCGGGGCCCCCCCGGCGCGTGGCGGCTGCCGGGGCCCGGGCGGCGCGTGGGTGCGGGGCGCTGCCGGCTGCCGGAGCTGCCATTGTTTGCCTTCAATCAAGATGTTTCAGGCAGAATCAAAAGCACCAACTGGGGAAATCATCATCACAAAAAATCTTGCGCCTGCAAAATAGGTCAAGTAAGACTCCAAAGAGAGAGAGCGTCTGATCTGCATTGCAAGGAAGAATAGCAACAGCTGTGATCTCCAGTATATATGGATGGGCTGGGGGGGGATAAATATATATATCCATGCATATGTATAACCGCTTACAGCTGTTGGGCCGTATGTTCATTAGGGCCAACTGTTTTGGAGGCAGAGGGATCAGCGCTAATCGGGAAAGGGAGTTTATCATCACATTCAGAGGCAAAAGTGTCAGGAGCAACTGCGGCCCCCCCGCCCCGCAGCCCACACCAGCTGTGCTGTGCTGAATGCACCCAATTCAGGGCCCCCCCACCCCCCCGGGCTGTGAGAGCTGCGGCTCCTGCCCCAGCTCCAAAAGCAGCCACCAGCCGGGCGCAGATCTCTGCCCAGTCCCAGACCCAAGCACTGTGCACAGGGGTTGCTGTGCCTCTTTCCCCCCTCCCCAGACCAGCTCTCTGTGCCCACGCCACCGACCCAGCCCCTCACAGTAGGGYCCCTTTGCTTATTATCCCTGCTTGCCTCTGGCCTCACAGGTGCCAGCTATAAAAATGTACCCAAAATACATATAAATCCTCCTGTCTGACATCAGGGAGGCTGATGGAGCCAGGGCAGGACAGCTGGCTCAGCCACCCCAAGACGTTGGGCTTTGCCTGGTCAGTTGGGACCCAGCTGTCACAGGCTGGGAACAGCACAGTGTCCCAGCCCACACTGATGCTCTCGGCATGGTGGGGWCCCGCTGTCCCCAGCAGTGTCCCCCTCAGCACCCCAAGCTCCTGCCAGAGACAGAAGCGTTAAAGCTTGCAGGCTGTGACTCCCATTGGCAGCAT